CGGTAAGATTTCGGAAAGATTTCGAGGGATTATCCACTAAGGAAAAAATGTACAGTGGAAAACATTGTAATTGGCACATGCTATACTCTTTTAATATCCCTCGTATTAAGTCAAAATTCTAACAAATAAATCTATTTAGTGCAGTGGTGTACAAATATTTTTTTTCCTTTAGGAGTTTGTTAAAACTATTATGTTCCCCATTGATTTGTCAATCTGACACAATTTTGACATTTCCTGTGTATCGAAGAAGTAAAATTTTGACACATTACGGGGGATGTTTGTAGAGTGTGTGCCAATTCTACTGATTCTCACTGTACCAAGATTTCGGATTTAGAGCGATTTCGAGGGATTTTGGGTGATTTCGAAGGATTCCGGGTGATTTCGGAGGATTTCTGGTGATTTCGCAAATATTTTAATTTGATTTTAGACTATTACTTATCTCATAAGTAAATTTGAAGATGTATTAGTATGAACTGAAAAACGGTCGCGTTGGCCGATTTATGAATTTTGGGCCTATTGCGAGGGATTTTTGGGTCGGTGAAAAGATTTTTGAGAGTTTTCGGAGGGATTTCGGCGGATTTCGGAGTGATTTCGTGGATTTCGGGGATTTCGGCGATTTCGGACGAATTTGTGACACGATTTCGGGGAGTGATTAACCCCTTAAGTTCATTAGTACAAATTCTTTTTTTAGTTATGTTACTATACTAGTAGTTATCTTGAGAAAAGTTCCTTCTGATTTCTACTTTTGTATCTAAGAATTGTTGAATAAATACCTATAAGTTAACTATTTAATAGATAAGAAAAATGTGAATAATTTAAGATTTTGGATTGATATTTGGCACTATGGTAGGAATGAGTTCTATGAGTGGGTCTTTGACACAAAATGCCGAAAGCCCATTTTTGTCAATATTGATGGTGGGTTTTTGTGTCATAAATCTACTTGGTTTTTAAAATGGGACCCTGAATTCAAGAGCCGGAAATAGGTAAATATTGTGACGGTGAAACTGAGAAATAGAGGAGAAATGTGAGAAAACATTGGTAGATAAGGGGACTTTCATGTTTTTTTCTATTCCAAGTATTCGAAAGTATCGACATCGTCCCTTTTGAATTTTGCCGTTCGCCCTGATAGGTCGATCCTGGCTTGGGGGCAGCCATCTTCCTCAAGTGTGAATACCGTTCTCGTGGAAAAAGTACCTTATATCGGCCATCAGGCACTGTTTCAACGAAATAGAGTTGCGTGAGGCAATCATCCATTAAATACCGAAAAAAATTCAATCGAAAGTGAAAGTGATTACCGTTTTGTTTGAGTTTGAATTTCGAACTTCCTCGGGATAAGTCCCTTGTTAATTTTTTTTTTAAAGTAATGGTTGTACATGGAATGCCTCTATTGGGTTTTTCCGAGGAGCTGTTTTTCCGAGGAGCTGTTTTTCCGAGGAGCCGTTTCTCTCAACTAATCCATTTCCAAAAGGTCACATTTTAAAAGAACACTTTTTTCGTGGAGCTTTTGAAGGGATTTCTAGAGGAATCAAATCCCTCACGAGTCGATACGTGTACCCCCACATTTGACGGAGAAAACTGAACTTCTAGCCTTGATTCCAGGCTAGAATCTGCAACTTCCAATGGATTCTATACCAATCGTGCTCTACCCTTTTTGTTGGAATAGAGGCTTGTATAGATTTTTTTATAACTTTTATTATTTTTTCTAAGAAATCTACTTTATGATCAATTAACAAAATTAATTGATTTTGTTTTTTCCTGATATGACATTTAAATATTTGAAATTTCAATTTCATATTCTTGACACCTAAGTGAACTTTAAATAATTATTTATTTCCGATTTTTGATTTACCGTATTTACCATAGATTTTATCTCTACTTAACTTTCAGTACCGCCATATTTAAAGAATGTACCATCGTCACCAAAAGTATCTGGGACAAAAATAATGCATAATAATCTCCTGGACTAATTCTACTGTCATTCATTTCAATGTATTTGATTCATAGTTTGACAAATATTTGACAATAAAATTCATATAATAGTACGAGAGTTAATATGATACTGTCCCAGTTACTTTTGGTGACGATGGTACCTATATTTTATCGATGATAATCAATCAGTAATCTGAACAGATGTCAAGGTTGGACGACATGCTCTAAATTTAAAGAGTATTGAGTAAGTACCTACATCGTTGAAAATTGATCAATTTTTAACCCTGGGTCCTTTAACTTATATTATATTTGAGGATTTCTATCATATCTCCTGACCATTTAACCAAACTTTCAATTTCATATAAGTACAAGTTGATTTTACTGAATTTCTTCTTTAAGCAGAAGCTGATCATATTTATAAATATAATTTTCAATAATTTTATTAAAGATCACCGCGGGCGCGGCCGGAGTCAAAAAATTTTTCGGGTGCCACGCCCTAAAACGTTAATTTTAAGCCGAAAATTATAATCAGGCCTATGATGTATCCTCTCCTGTTATTTTAACAGTTGTGTTATAGCTCAAAATCTATACCTGTCTCTATTTTTATGTGTAGAGTAAACAGTGACAGATAACTTAACGTTGCTGTTAAAATAACAGAAAATGATACATCATAGGCCTGAATGTGTGTACGTGTGGGATATACTGTAAAACATGGATAACAAAAAAAAAACAAAAACGCATATCCCAAAAATTTTTTCTAGGACTAGTTTCTGCGAAATGCCTTAAGAAATTTAATTTTCTAGAAAAATATTTTACGGTTTCTGACTGCGGCCTGCGGCCGCCCTTTCAGTTTGTCCGCCTTTGTGCCTGCACAACCTGCACTCGCCTAAGAACGGCCCTGAATCCTGGCTTGGGGGCAGCCATCTTCCTCAAGTGTGAAAACCGTTCTCGTGGAAAAATACCTTATCGACCATCAGGCGCTGTTTTTACGAAATAAAGTTGCGTAAGGCAATCATCCATCAAATACAATATAAGTCTTGTAATTACTGTTTTGTTTGAATTTGAATTTCGAATCCCCTCGTGGTATGTCCCTTTTTAATTTTTTCAAAAGTAATGGTCACAGGTAATGGTTGTTCATGGAATGCCTCTATTACTTAGTTTTTCCGAGGAGCTCTTTTTCCGAGGAGTTGTTTTTCCAAGGAGCTGTTTTTCCGAGGGAGCTGTTTTTCCGAGGGGCTGTTTTTCCGAGTAGCCGTTTCTCTCAACTAATCCATTTCCAAAAGGCCATATTTTCAAAAGAACATCATTTTCGTGGAGCGTGACATAGAGCTACGTGTACCCCCACATTTGACGAAGAAAACTGAACTTTTTGGATTCCAGGCTAAAATCTGCAACTTTCTTCATCAAGTGGCCGAAAATGGATGGCTACCGTGCTTTACCTTTTTGTTGGAATAAAGGCTTGTATAGAGTTTCATTGATAATTTCTATTATTTTTTTTATTGGAATTCTCTCTATGATCAATTAACAAAATTAATTGATTTTTTTTTCCTGATATGACATATAAATATTTGAAATTTCAGTTTCATATTCTTGACACCTAAGTGAACTTCAAATAATTATTTCCGATTTTTGATTTACCGTATTTACTATAGATTTTATCTCTACTTAACTTTTAGTACCGCCATATTTAAAAAATGTACTTATATTTCATCAATGATAATCAATCAGTAATCTGAACAGAAGTCAACATTGGACAACATGTTCTAAATTTGAAATGAGGGAGTGAGTACCTACATCGTCGAAAATTGGTCATTTTTTAACCGTATAACTTATATATTTGAGGATTTCTATTATATCCCCTGACCATTTAACCCAACATTCGATTTCATACAGGTGCAAGTTGAAAAACTTCCCACCCAGGTTTTCTCAGAAATTAAGTGACTAATCAAAAATCGGTCGGACACGTCACTTTTTGTTTTTGGGGGATACATTTAATTGGTATTTTCACCCCCTACCTGTCAACCCCCAGCCTCCAAAATTTTAAATGGAAAGGTGGGTCGAGTGTAACCTCATTTGATAGCAATTTTTAAAAAAATATAGCTATCCTCAAAGTTTCAAGTTGCTACTATTTACCCTGTCGAAATGGCGGCTTGTCAAAGTTATGAGGTTTTTACTTCATAATAATTTCATAATTTTTGAAGTGAATAAACATGAATTATTTCAAACTGAACTGTTGAATGACAATACTTAAATTAAATACCAATGTTATTTTATTACTATGGATATAGGTATCCTTGGAAAAATCTGTTGTTTTGTGATTATGTGATAAAAACCACACAGTTCAGATACTCGGAAAGAAGCATTTTTTCTAAATTTGACAAGCCGCCATTTCGGCAAGGTAAATAGTAGCAACTTAGAACTTTGGAGATATAATCTCAATAAGAATAGCTACCAAATGACGTATCACTCGACTCCCCTTTCCATTTGAAATTTTGGGGGTACCTGTCACCCCCTCTGACGGTTTGACAGGTAGGGGGTGAAAATTCCAATGAAATGTGTCTCTAAAAAAATTGACGTGTCCTAGCGATTTTTGATTAATCATCTAATACCTGAGAAAACCGTGGTGGGAAGTTTTCCGTGCCTCACCCTGTATACTAATTTAATTTGAAACTTACTTAATTGTTTTATTGGTTTTAACTATGTCAAGATTTGGTTGAGTTATATGCATTATTTATTTCCTTTTCAGGATTATCAATTACTGTTTGCTGATTATTTATTTTTTAGGTGTGTTTCTGAATTTTCACCCTTCAATATTTTATGTAATTTAATTATTTATTTATTTTTCAAGAAATTCAGTGGCGCCCTTGACATTCTGTACTTATTAAACTATCGACCCACCCCTAATAATTATTCGCTGACTTTGAGAATTCACTATTCTGTCCACTCTGAACCCACCAAGAGTAAAAATAGTGCCAAAGTTTCATTTGCAGCATTGCCAAGCTTAACATACCCTTTGCAAACCTCGGAAAAATAATAACAAAAATCTAATGAAAATTTATTTCTGTTTACAGGTGATTGCGAAGCCATGGGTTATGTCGCCGGACACTAATACGGGGGACCTGACAAAATTGTGCAACCATAAACGAAAAATAATGGCCATGGCCTCGTTAGATTCTAAACCACCCGACCTGGAGGGTAAAATGAGGAAAGGTAGGTGGAGGATTTTCATTTTTCTATTGCGCGTTTTATGAAACAAAGTTATTCAATTTTCTTGCAAAGGGAATAAACAAACACCCATCCTATGCATAATAAAGTAACATTTTCAGCGGCAGAGTTGTATTATCCATTTTAGACAGCTACAAATTACCACAGCCATACATACTAAGATGTTAAATTTCACTTAATTCATAAGAAAACTAATTGAAAAGTGACGCTTTGTAGACACCCTCTGTATTATGCAAATGTTTCGTGTCTAGTCAAGAAAACGCATTAGCCTAGCGTTAACTCTTACCGCCTACCTACGTATATTTATATACGAAATTTTAATCTTATTTAGGGGATGCGGAGTGTAAAATTAGATTTTACAAGCAACCGAGAAGATAAAAACAACATTACGCGGTCTTACCGGACGATAAAACTTTTATGTACCACCGTCATCGTGGGCATATTTACGGCCCAGAGGGATGAAGTTAAGGGCGTATTAAAAAAAATATCGTTTGGAAATCAAATCTGTAATAAAACGTAACACAATTACCTACATTGTGTATTTGCTTGTATATGGAAAATATTTTAATGAAGGATAATTAACAATTTCACCGAGGCTTGCACAAAAGCCCGTTCATATATCTACGAATTGGCTTTTCAATTTCAGAATTCGTGTATTTGTAAAGCGTTGGCGACCGTATTAAATTTGATTTCCGCTGAATATTCAAATTTCCAGCTTAATAACTGATGCCAGAGTTGAATATTGAATCTCTTTTTTTTTAATATTTCGCATCAACCATAGTCGGGAATTATTTGTTTCATTTTGCCTTTAATCTGTTTTTAATTAGCCTAAAAAAAAATTTGTTTATTAAATTGTGTCTTGTTTTGTTTTAATGTTTGGAGCAGTTCTTTGTTCTTAATTATATTCTCCGGCGATAATTACAACAATGGTCGCTCCCTTTTTCCCATGAAGGCAGAGACTTGAGCCAGCTAAAATTTTTAACGCATCACCTCGCCTTAATTAACAAACAAAAGATCATTTTTTGCTTCAGTTCCATCTGACGCTGAGCGCACTTTTTAAAAATTCTTCGGCGATGTTTTTAACGTTCTTTTGTATTTTAATCATCATCGCCGTCGACTCTCCGTTTCGGTCTTAAAATGAATAATAAATCGCTCCATGAATTTATACAGACGCCAGCTGAAAATGATTTATTACGAATTTTTTTAAGTAGTCCTTGTATTTTTGACCCAATTCGCTTTGTTTTTTTTTTTACAATAAAGGCCGATTTTTGATATTTTCAATGAGACGAACAAAAAACCGGTGATTTTTTTATTAATTAATACAAGAGGGTCACGATATTGATGGACAAAATAAACTACCTACACAAATGAAGGTTGATTTAATCAGAATGATCAATTTGATGTATATACAGTATAGCTGAGAGGTGGTTAACTGGTCAAAATCCGTGTACAAGTTGGTCAAAATCCCAGAAAATCTCATAAGCAGGTTGATTTTTTTGAAAAATGGTTTAATTTCGGTCAAAATTAGACTCATGAATATCCTGTTTTTAGTGCCCTGAGGATGGCCTAATTTAGGCCGAAACGTCGGCAAATACACACATCTTCTTCAACGCCGTTTATTTTTGACCTAAATCCAACCTTTTTTCAAAAAAACCAACCTGAATATCTACTGAGGTCACTAACTATAACAAATTTCATAAGATTTTCTCAAAATCCCTAAAAATCTTTGAAATCCTTAAAAATTTAACAAAATCTCTTGAAATTGCATAAAATCCTACAAAATCTAACAAAATATCATTAAAACCCAAAAAATCCTGCAAAATCTCATAAAATGATTAACATGGATACAAAATATTTCCTCTGAAATTCCCAAAAATCTTTTAGAATCCCCAAAAATTTGTTGAATTCTCTTAGAATTCCATAATTTAGTGAAATTTCGAGGAATAACGATAGAATTATGTTATTCTGAAAAAGGAATTACCATGTGAAATTTTTGCGGAGTTTCCATAGAATTCACATTAAATTTCAGTTCCTCTCAAATTACATGAAATTTCAGTGAAATTCCGATCGAATTACACGAAATCCTAAATGAATTGCTTCGAGGAATTCCAAACAATTTTATGAAATTACACCGAAATTCCCAGCATGAAATTTCAGTTCTTATTGAATTTTAGTAAAATTCCAGAAAATTCCACAAGTGGAATGCTGAGGAATTTCCGGCTAAAAACATGGAATTTCGATGATATTTCAATATATTTCGGTGAATTTTGAAGAAATTAGTTGAAGTTTCATTAATATTCCCAGAAATTCCTGGCTACTAAAAGAGAATTTCAGTGAAATTCCGAAAAATTCTTATGGAAATAAATGAAATTTTGAAAAATTCCTTGAAGTTTCATTGGACTTTCGAGAAATTTTCGGCTATGAACGTGGAATTTCGAAATATTCTCATAAAATTTTAGTGAATTCTGAGGAATTTTTAAGAAATTACATGAAATGTCAATAAAATTCCGAAGAATTTTATGAAAATTTTGTGGATTTCCAGGATATTTCAGTGGTGAAATTTTCGCGAATTTCAGTAAAGTTTAAAAAAAAAAAATTATGGAATTTTGAAATTGAAATTTTAGTTGAATACCGAGGAATTTCATGAAATTTTTTGTTCAAGAATTCCATTGAATTTTATTGGGGAATTCCATGAAATCATATGGTGAAATTTGGAAAAATATTATGAAATCATATAGTAAAATTTTTAAGAATTTCTGTTTTTCCATTAAAATTTACCATTTGAATGGAATTTCGAGGAATTAATCTTCTGGTGAATTTCTAAGGAATTTCTATGAAATTACCTAAAATTTTCACGGAATTTTCATGAATAACTTGAAATTTTAATGGAATTCCGAAGAATTTCATGAAATCTCATAGTGTACTTAATTCCGAGGAATTTTTGTGCAAGAATTCCATTAAATTTTATGGTGGAATTCTATGGAATTCCATATATTATATGAAATTCAGAAAAGTATTATGAAATCTTATAGTAAAATTTCTAGGAATTTCTGTTTTTCCATCAAAATTTACCATTTGAATGGAATTCCATAAAATCTTCTGGTGAAGGAATTTCTATGGAATTGAATAAAATTTTCGCTGAATTCGGAATCCCATGAAATAACTTGAAGTTTTAGTGGAATTCCGAAGAATTTCATGAAATCTTATATTGTAATTCCGAAGAAAAAAAAAATCCAAGAATCCCATTGAATTTTATGGTGTGAAATCCGACGTGAAATTTTTGCGGAGTTTCTATAGAATATACATTAAATTTTAGTTCCTCTCGAATAACATGAAATTTCGAGAAATTACATGAAATTTCAGTGGAATTTCGATCGAATTGCATGAAATCATGAATGAGTTGCATGGAGGAATTCTAAACAATTACATGGAATTACACCGAAATTCCCAACATGAAATTTCAGTGCTTCGTTAAATTACATAAAGAATTTTGAAAAAGTTTCAAAAAATTACATGAATTCCGAGGAATTTTCGTCGAATTATATGGAGCTTCGATGCAATTGCATGGAATTGTCAGGGAGTTACATGAAATTTAAGTAGAAACTTTGAATACTCTTATCGTTTCATAAGGAATTTCAATGAAATTCCGAAAAATTCTAATGTAATTACATGAAGTTTTATTTCGATTCCAAGGAATTCCCAGTTAAAAACATTGCATTTTAGTGATATTGAAATTCCGAAAAATTTCCATCCAATTACTGAATTTTAGTAAAATTAGGGAAATTTTCACAAGTGGAAGAATTTCTGGCTAAAAACTTAGAATTTCGGTGTTTGGAGAAATTCCCATGAAATTTCAATATATTTCGTAGGAATTTCTGTGAATTTTCAAGAAATCACTTGAAGTTTCATTAATATTCCCAGAAATTCCTGATTATTGAAAGAGAATTTCAAGGAAATTCTGAAAAATTCTTATGAAAATAAATGAAATTTTGAAAAAAAAATTGAAGTTTTATTGGAATTTCGAGAAATTTTCGAATAATAACGTGGAATTTCAGTGAAATTTTAAAAAAATCTCATAAAATTTTAGTAAAATTCCAAGAAATTTCTAAAAAATTAGAGGAAATGTCAGTGAAATTCCAAAAAATTTTATAAAAATTTTGTGGAATTCCAGGATATTCCAGTGGTGAAGTTTTGGAAAATTTCAGTAAAGTTTTTAAAAAAAATAATGAAATTTGGAATTTCTATAGAATTTTGGAGAATTGCAGTGGGATTTCGAAAAAAAAAAAAAAAATTATAAAATATTCGCATAATTTCCATCAAATTAAGTATATATAATTTCACTATGTTTCGACTTGCATAAAATTTCGATGAAATGTCGAGTAAAATTCCGAGAAATTCTTGTCGAATTACATACATGGAATTTCTTGAAATCTTATTATGGAATTCCAGTGAAATTACATGAAATCCAAAGAATTCCCTTGGAATTAAACAGAATTTCCGTGGAACCACGAGAAATTTTGGCGGAATTCCGAAGAGTTGAATTAAATTTTAGTAAAATTTCTGAGTAATTTCTGTCGAATTACATAAAATTTTATTAAAATTCCGAGAAATTTCATGAAATCTTTTACTGTAATTCCGAGGAATTTTAGTACAAGAATTCCATTGAATTTTATGGTGGAATTCCATGAAATCTTTTGGTGAAATTCAGACATTATTATGAAATCTTATAGTAAAATTTCTAGGACTTTCTGTTTTTCTATTCAAATTTGTCAATTGAATGGAATTTCGAGGAATTCCATAAAATCTTCTAGTGAAATTCTAAGGAAATTCTATGGAATTAACAAACATTTTCGCAGAATTCCCATGGAATAACTTGAAATTTCAGTAGAATGCCGAAAAAATTAATGAAATCTCATAAGTAGTATAATTCCGAGGAATTTTTGTCCATGATAAAATTCGGAAAAGTATTATAAAATCCTATAGTA